TAAATGATTTTAGCATATGGCTGCAATATAACAAAGAGTGAAAAATTTAAGGGGGTCTGAATACTTTCCGTACCCACTGTATGTGAACAGGAGGAGATGGCTAGTTAATCTTTAGAGTGACTTGCAAATTTTACTCAGAAATATGTTTTTTTCTCCACACTCCCTTATAGGACTGGAGACCATCGGCACAGCAACAGGGAAGCGGCTGCTGGTATCTGGCTGGTGGGGTCTCGTGCGTCATCCCAATTACTTGGGTGACCTCCTCATGGCCCTTGCATGGTCCCTTCCATGTGGTAAGACAGATTAAAAGCCCTCACAGGACTTTTCTTAACAAGGCTTGTTCACCAAAGTAACAGATTTGCAGACAGACTTCAGGAGAAAAAGTCGATGAAGGTATAGTTAATAGATTGTCAGGCTCAGTATTGATGATATCCATCATATCTATCATTAGAATAGATAGATGCATTGGCATTTCTAATGACATGACCTAAAACACATTTCAGGTTTGATCTGAAGCATATATCACTTCACTGTGACTTGTGCCTGCAGCCTAGCTGGGCGGCAACACATTTTAAGGATTGTGTATGCACCTCTCAGTGGAGCCTATGGTCACTATTCTCCATCTGTACACTGGGTAGGCAAAAAAAGGTTTTCAGTATTAAAAGAATATCTTTCCAAGTGTCTTTTAGAACGTAGGTGCTATTCAATATTAGTGCCTGGTTTTCATAACAATACAAGTACAACATCAGGAACACAGTAAGTATAATGGTAACAGCCATGAATGCAGCTTTATGAAGCAGTACCTAGGCCCAGTGGTGCTTTGGGCTAAATGCTAATATGGTCACAGTAACAATGCTAACATGCTGATGATTAGCAGGCATATTATTCACCATGTTCACCTTCGTAGTTTGACATGTTTGCATCATTTTGTAATTTACTTGAAAACTGTAATCAGTTACTCGTGCAAATTACTTATTGAAGTATTTCTATTACTTCACTAATTACGCAGGAAAAGTACGTTACTTTATTTTTGTAACTCACCAGATATAGTCTGGCCCAAAGTGATGGACTAACCATGGACAGACCAGCATAGAGCAGTTAGCATGGCTAAAAATAAGCAACTGAGATCACAAATCCAATAGCCATTCTGTGCTAGCTTTCACTAATTATAATTATACAGTTTCCATTACTGACTTACTGACATTTGTCTGTCCTTATTTAATCATTATAATGGTTGCAACTGATGCAGCTACAATAAAGTCAGCAACAATCTGTCTTTGTTCCTCTATAAACTACCTTATATTCCCTTGAAAAGTCACTTCCTGAAATGGTGACTGTCAGACTTTTGTTACAGCTGACACATGGTTCTCATTGGTATTCAACTTGGTGTGACTCACTTGTGTAGCTGCCTTTGTAATTGAGATATACAGTCATTTCTGCCTTAATTGATGCAGCAAAGAATTCACAAACTAGCATGTTGTGGACAGATGAAAAGCTGCACTGACAAAGAGGAACAGTGGTCATAATGTAGAATCTCACTGAAGAAACACTGACTCTCACATTTTAAAACTTGAGATGTAGACCAGAAATTAAGTAATTTTGGTGACGAATCAACAGTGTCATATATGGCACAAAATACAGGCAAGATGACTGATAGAGGTAAGTGCTAGCCAGATGATTGTCTCAGGTAAATACACAATGCAGGTAAGATGTCTGGCTCATGTAAGTACAACAGCACGAACATAGTAAGTATAATTGCAAATATGAAGCAGGCAAACTAAAGCACAAGTGAGTGTAATGCCAGGTACTGCTGAGGGAGTCAAACAGTACAGGCAGATCCAGAAAGCAAACTTACACTGTGTTCAGATTACATGCTGAAGTAGCTCAAGTCAGATTATTTTCTCCTCCAAATGACTAAGATCTGATATTCTCATTGATGTGTACACAAACCAAATTGGATTTTTTCAAATCAGATCAGGGTCACTTGCACATGTGGTCTCAGAATCGATTCATATCTGATATCTGATTATACAAATGCTTGCAGAACTGTCAGATTAGAATTGTTGTGGTTTTTTCAACATCTCACTCCCCTGTGCATGTGTTTATTGCCTGTTGTCATCATCCATTGTCAGCCCATCATAGTCTGTTAAAAATAAACAGGAGGAGAGCAACAGCAACAATGGGGGTCAGTGGGGAGAGAGGATATTTCACATTTGTTGAACATTTCTAGAGAAGCTTCTGATCACAGAAACTTCGAAGGAACATATTGTAAACAAGCAGTTGTTGAGGAAATTGTGCAGTTTGACTGTTGCACAAAATGACTTTATTGTGCTATGCAGCTCACATTCAATTAAATCTGTGCATGAGAGGCAGTTTAAGAGGGTAACAGTGTAAAATTTTGAGCTGAATATGTTTCACTTACAAACATGAATGTGAACCATCAACACTAAGAGAGAGAATCTGACAAAAAGATTGGAATTGAGCTTATATTGTCAACGTTGTGTTAATGTCCATGCACAGCTAAATCCACCAGGTTCAACAAAGGGAAGATAACTGACCAGATAAAAAATAAAAGTGTCCAAATAAAACTGAGTCCAACAGTCCAAACAGGGCAGGCTGGAAGGAACAGGAATGCTGAGATGGCAGAGTTATAAAAGATGCTGCTATGTGGACAGTCAAGCAGAGAATGAATACAAGCTGCTGGCTTATATACTGAGTAGGTGACAGATGGGAGGCATGTGAGTGTGGGTGGAGCAGGTAGGTAGAGGGGGAAAACTGATCAAAGACAAGGCTAAAATAATTCAAATTTTATTTGTATAGCACCAAATCACAACAAAAGTCATCTCAGGACACTTTACAAAGTAAGGTCTAGACATTACTATTATCACTATTATTATAGAGGAAAACCCAACAAATCCCCCTTGAGCAGCCACTTGGCGATAGCGGGGAGGAAACTCTCCCTTTACTGGAAGAAACCTTACACCAACCCTGGCTCTTGGTGGGCGGCCTTCTGCCTTGACCGGTTGGGGTGAGTGGACAGAGGAGAGAGAAAAGAAAAGAAAAGCAACAAGACACAACAAACACAACAATCAAACACTGGTCAGGTTGATGTGGCCGTTGACTGCTTATCAGAAGCGTAGAGCTCCTGAGCCAGGGCAACCTGCAGAAAGGTACAGGGAGAGAGGAGACACACAGTTAGTGACATGTAATGGTGGCATATAGATGCATGTAGAGAGAAGAGAGGGGAGGGGAAGAGAGGAGAGAAACTCAGAGCATCATGGGCCCCCCAGCAGCCTAGGCCTATAGCAGCATAACTAAGGGAAGGCTCAGGGTCACCTGATCCAGCTCTAACTATAATCTTTATGAAAAAGGAAAGTCTTAAGTCTAATCTTAAAGGTAGAGAGGGTGTCCACCTCCCAAACTGAGACTGGGAGCTGGTTCCATAGAAGAGGAGCTTGATAGCTAAAGGCTCTGCCTCCCATTTTACTTCTGTGGACTCTAGGAACCACAAGTAAACCTGCACTCTGAGAGCGAAGTGCTCTGTTAGGATGATAAGGCTCTATGAGGTCTTTAAGATACGATGGAGCCTTGTCATTAAGGGCTTTGTATGTTAGGAGAAGGATTTTAAATTCTATTCTGAATTTTACAGGGAGCCAGTGGAGAGAAGCTAATATGGGAGAGATATGATCTCTAAAATCCTCAAACAAATCATTCTTGTGCAAGTGGTCACATAACTGCTTTGCAACAGCTTTTTCAAGGATTTTAGAAATAAACAGGAGATTGGATATTGGTCTATAATTAGCTAGGACACCTGGGTCAAGAGTAGGCTTTTTGAGTAGAGGTTTAATTACTGCAACCTTAAAAGCCTGTATAATAGAGCCTGTTAATAGAGAAAGGTCAATCAGATCTAATATGGACGTGCTGATTAGGGGCAAGATGTCTGAGCATCCTGGTCGGGATGGGGTCTAAGAGACATGTTGATTTAGATGAAGCAATTGTTGAGGTAAACTCTGAGATATCTGTGGGAGAGAAGTAGTCATAAATGAGGTCTTACAGATGTTTCTAAACCCATTGTACTTGATGACGTGTCTATGAGAGTTGTGGGAAGGATCTGATTAATTTTTCTCTAATAGTTGTGATTTTATTTGTAAAGAAGCTCGTGAATTCATTGCTGCTGAGATCTAAGGGAATATTAAGCTTAACAGTACTGTGGCTGTGTGTCAGCCTGGCTACAGTGCTGAAAAGAAACCTGGGGTTGTTCTTATTTTCCTCTATCAATGATGAGTAAATATGCGGTTCTGGCACTAAGGAGTGCTTTCTTATATGTTATTAAACTAGCTTTCCAAGCTAAGAAAAACTCTTTTGACTTAGTGGAGCACCACCTCCTTTCCAGCTTTTGTGATGCCTGCTTTAGCTAGTGGAGCTGCGAGCTGTACCATGGGGCTAGCCTCCTCTGTTTCACTGCCTTATTTTTCAGAGGGGCAACAGTATCAAGTGTTGTATGCAGGGAGGCGGCAGCGCTATCAGCAACATTATCGACTTGTGTGGGAGTAAAGTTAAGGTGGCCGCCCTCCATTGTGTTGGCAAATGGCACTGAAGTAGATAAAGATGGAATTATTTCCTTAAACTTAGCAAGAGCATTGTCAGATAGACATCTACTGTAGTGGAATTGTTCCCCACATAGAGTATAATCCATTAATGGAAATTCAAAAGTTATTAGAAAATGGTCAGACAAAAGAGGGTTTTGGGGAAAAACTATTAAGTGTTCAGTTTTGATGCCATATGTCAGAACAAGATCAAGGGTGTGATTAAAACAGTGAGTGGATGTATTTACAGTTTGAGTCTAATGAACAGAATGCATTGTTGAGGCTGTCATTGTCAGAATCTACATGAATATTAAAGTCGCCCACTATGATTATTTTATCTGTACTAAGCACTAAATCAGACAAGGTCTGAAAATTCAGTTAAAACTCAATAACAATAACAAATAGAACAGGCTTTTGAGTTTTTCAGTTTGGGTGTGAGAGATTCAGAGTGAGGCTTTCAAATGAGTTATAACTATGTTTAGGTCTAGGGTTGATTAATAGGCTTGAGTTGAAAATTGCTGCCACACCTGTGACAGTTACTGTGACTAGGTGGGGTGGATTCATTTAGACTGACATATTCTTCCTGCTGTAACCAGGTTTCAATAAGACACAATAAATCTATGTGATGTTCACTTATCAAATCATTCACTAACAGAGATTTAGACAAGAGAGATCTGATATTTAATAGGCCACAAATGATTGTCCTGTTATTTTGTTCTATAAGAGGAGTCATCTTAATTTTAATTAGTTTCTTATGAATAACTCCTCTTCAGTTGATTTTTGATTTATTTAATTTAGGTGGTCGCAGGGCAGACACAGTCTCTATGGGTTACTGGGAGTTCTGGTTGGGTAGCAGCTGCAGTGAGACTGCAGAGAGGCGTGTAAACTGTGACCCGGCGTCCTAGTCTTAACTGTGGATTGTCATAATTTAGGTTGTAAAATAAACTCGTCCAGATTTCTAGATATGAGAACCACACCATCCAAAGTGGGATGGATGCTGTCTCTGCTAATCAGACCAGGTTTTCCCCAAAATGTTTTCCAGTTGTCTATGAAGCCCATGTTGTTTTCCGGGCACCACGTAGACAACCAGTGGTTGAATGACAACATGCAGCTAAACATGTCCATCACTGGTCAGATTGGGTAGGGGTCCAGAGAAAACTCCGGAGTCTGACACTGAACATGGAAAGTATGGTGTGGAGACAAAATTAAGACTGAGAGACACAAAAGTATTTGCTCAAATCACTGTAATGTGCGGTCTGAAAAAATAACCACTGAGATGAATGAACACTTAAAACATTGTGAGCTTAATCATACTGGTATTCACTGCAGTGCTTTTGTTCAAATAATCATTATTACAGTGTTTTACTGTTTGCAGAGGCTGATGTGCTCTTGATTAATTCACATCATTAAACATTGATGTCAATAATAATGCTCTATTTTGATAGTCATTTCAAATTCACAGTTTTATCAGAGAACCATACATTTCTTATAGTTTTCTTTGACTTTCTGTTGTTTTTTAAATAATTTATACTTGTTTCCTCCTGCTTATATATGCATCTCTTTTCTTTAGGATTCTCACATCTTCTGCCTTATTTCTATGTCATATATTTCACCGTGTTGCTGATTCACCGAGAGGCCCGAGATGAGAGACAGTGTAGGGCCAAATATGGACTAGCATGGGACACCTACTGTCAACATGTGCCCTACAGGATCTTCCCTTATATATACTGAGCAGGAACGCGGATGGGTAGAACAGGACCAAAGAGTCACACGATATCCTACATACAAACCTAGCAATAAAATGTAACTGTAGTGTGTCCTTGACTGTATGGATCCATAATAACCGGTGCTGCTACTGGGAATCTGCAGGGGGCTGACAATTGTAATCAGCTTTGATTTGTAAGTAGAGTTGTTTTTGGCGGCCTGTTTTAACTTTAGTTTTAGTCTAGTCTTTGTGTGAAGCTGTTATTTTAGTTTTTATTAGTTTTAGTCACATTCATACTCTTTTTAGTCTAGTCTAGTTTTAGTCGACGAAAACTGATGACATTTAGTCTAGTTTTAGTCAATGAAAATTGTATTTTAGTCTCTTTTTAGTAATGCAATTCTATCTAACACAGTCAATATAGTATAAGTACCTAGTAGTATCGAGGAAACCAAAAGTTTCTTTTAGCAAACTCATTTCAAACAAGGTTATCTTATTATATTATTGTTACCTTATAGACTCAAGAATACATCCAGTACATATTTTGTGTGATTTTGTGGCCGCATTTCTCCCCATCTTTTTCCACAACACATTGTTTTCTTTTCCACGTCTATGTAATTAAAGTTTTTCCAAAGGGTAGGACTGGATAAGTCTGACTTCTTCCTACTCCATTCAAGCATGTACTAGGTATAAGCAAATTGATATTGGATTATGTGTAACATTATGTGTTGTCATATCAACTGTTTTTACATGCTTGAAAGAATAAATCAAATCAAAGTTTTTCCAAATGTCGTTTCTTCTTTTTTCCCAATGACGAACCCCGGCTGGCCGGCCATTGGTCCCTTTCTCTGTGTCAGACTTAACTTTGTTTGTTGTCGTCTTGTAAATAATACCGCGAGTGGGGCTTAAGGAAGTGACGTTTCCTGCGTCTGCGCAGTGCGGCTTGATGCGGCCCCTGAAGTGAGACACAGGAAACAGAAATACTGCAAAATAATAACGCAACTGAATGAGACGAGATAACATAACATTTCATTTCATTTCGTTATTTTGTGAACCACATTTAGTCTCGTTTTTTTCCGTCAACAATATTGCATTATACATTTAATTATAGTCATTGTCACACGACCGGCATTTTCGTTGCGTCTCGTCTCATTTTCGTCAGCAATAAAGGTTCGTTGACGACAATATTTAGTCATAATTTTCGTTGACGAAAGCAACTATA